CAGAGCGTAGTGTGAGCGCAGTGACAGCGCAGCGGCAGCGACTAGATAGAGTAATTGAGCTTGACAGGGGCGCATAGAGAGCGAGTTGAGCGCATCGTAAGCGTGGGGAGAGCACAGTATGAGCGTAGCTTGAGCTTCTTTGATACAGAAAGTTGTCATTTTCTTGCGTCCTCGCTGCGATTGTTACATTTATGAAATATTTTTGGTCGCCGTAAGGTCTCCTTTGAGATCGCATATAATGTGCCAGGCCCTTAACACACTGAGTAAACAGTGTGTATTTACATCGGAGAAGGGTGAAACCTAATTTGATTTTCATCTGCAAAAATTCCATCTTGTGATTGGCGCATATTACCATGAAACACCTTACTGGTAAAGAGAAACATTCACAGTATATTATCAAGAATAGAAAAGTATTTTACTTTAAAGTAGGGAATTGTCAATACTTCCTGTGTCATCAGTAATGTGCAGGCCCAGAACAGATTGCAACCAACTTTCAGTGTCACATTCCCTGGTTTGCCCCTCCCCAAGAAATATGACCCTCAGAAGTCTGGTACACCCGTCACACAAAATAAATTGTCACACAAAATAAATTGTCAATTCACTCGACAATTTATTTTGTGTGACGGTGTACCAGACTACTGAGGGTTATATTTCTTGGGGAGGAGCAAACCAGGGAATGTGACAAATGGGGGCTCGTCCGGGAAATGAAAAAAACAAATTGAGAAAAGCCGGTAGTCTCAGGTGTGTGGTTATACACGATACTTCAAGATTGACACAGGGTGAGTTAAAAAAAAAAATGGAACCAAAATCCCAAAAATTATATTTCATATTTAAAAAATATGTAGCATCAAAAATAATGAAGGGAAAGCAAACATCTTAAGGTACTTTAAGATGAAAAAATGGATAAGTAAAGTGGTCAATCCATTCAGAAAATATCACCATTTAAACACAATGACCCTAAAAACCTGTCTCCTCAAAAAAAATGTGATTTCAAGAATCGTTGTCACAATTGTCTTCAAACATCTCCAGCAATAAACTCTCAGTTTAAACATTAAAAAGGTTCAACAGAATCACTTTGAAGGCCTGTCCTTTAAAGCTATAGTCCATCATTTGTAATTAGTGCATTTTGTTCGTTTGAAGCAATAAATGTGTTCAAAATCTAATGAAGGATACAGAACAACTTGCTTGATAAAGTTTCAGCTCAGATTCAGCTTTATATTCCGAGAAAAACAGCATTCTAGGATCTCAATTTCAAATCAAAAGTTGCTAAATCATGTTTCGAATTGTTTTGAATTGCAGCTTTACGCGATGTCGCGCACTGATCCAACAAATTATAGCAACCGCGCGTGCCTGTGCGTCGTTCCAATGCTTGTGCGCACTGCGCTGAATAACAAAACGAACTACTAATTTAAATTTTGCTATGGTGCTTCTTAAGACGCACCATTGGAAATGAGTTTCGTTGATTTCTTCGAATTGAGAGCTTGCCAGAAAGGATAATTTCACAGGGAGTTTAGTCCCCTTACTATCTTTCACAGGGGTTGCCCTTAACTTTTTTTTTTGACTAGCCAGCCTGACCAGTTGGCCAGAATTTTGACTGGTCCGCCAGGTTTTTGACTGGTCCGTCTTATACAGCGTGTACCCACCAGTTAATCAGTTTCACATCAGTCTTATTAAACTAGACTATAGTCAACACCCATGTCACCTGAGCAATAGAGGTCTATTTTCTTCCTCCATGATCTGAGGCCGCAAAAAAATATAAAGTTCTGCCTCAGATTACATGCCTTTTAAAAATAGGGTTGGTAGGTCTGATTTTTTGGGGTTTTTTTGGCCAATTTTTTTTATGCAGCTTGAAAGGGGTATTCAATTAGGCCTCAGTAGGCGAAGTTTTAGCCCGATTTATTTTCATTGTACTACGAACAAGGGCGGATCCAGAACACATTTTTTTTTGGGGGGGGGCCAAAAAAAATTGTGGTCCCCCAAAAAAGTGGGTCAAAAAAATTACGGCGTGGGGTTCGGGGCCCGCTTAAGGGCCCCAAAAACATTTTGGATTCTAAATGCTCTGTGGTGCAATCTGAGGCAATTTCTGACCACTTTAACCAATGTTTTTTTTTGAGGAAAAGATGGTGGTGTACTCATTGCCTGCCTTTACTGCGATGTCACATAAAAAAAAAATAAAAAAATTGGTTTCGTTTTTTTTTGGGGGGGGGGGGCATAGCCCCCTTTGGCCCCCCCCCTGGATCCGCCCTTGACTACGAAAGCTATACACAAAATGATGGCCACAAAAAGTGAATAAAACCTACCTTAATTAGGCCAAAAAAATAGTTCTGCTTCCGATTACATGCCTTTCAAAAATAGGGTCGGTCGGTCGGAAATTCTTTTTTTTGCCAATTTTTTTTTATGCAGAGTGAATGGGGTATTCAATTTTTTATATGCGAAGTATTAGCCTGAACTATTTTCATTGCACTACGAAAGCTATACACGAAATAGCGACAAAAAGTGAATAAAACCTACCTGTAATTATTGTCAATATATTTACGTTCGATAATTTCAAAAAAATGGTAATCCTTACTTTTAGGACACTCTATTTTGTACGAGTTCTGTTCAAAACTGACTTTTGCAGATGACTGTCCAGTACCAAAGTGACTTTTGCAGGCTAAAGAAGTCTTTTTTCTTCAGACAAACTCATGTTAGTTATAATTTTGAAAGCACTTTCAAAGAAAAAGTGAATTTCCTACCTATTTTGGCAGTTTGCCATCTTGCTTTTTAAATCTATTTTCTGTTTGTCATCGTCCCCTCATAAATCAAAACCCTGCCCTCTTTCTACAAATCAAACCTGCTGATATTCAAGAGGTGTCATTGCCAACTGTTCAAATGCGCCAAGAAATACCAGAATGTCACTTTTGAGTGTCATTTAGTCAGCTGTTTTGGTGAGTCTTTTAACCTTATATAGGAAAGGGGTCCTAAAAAAAAGGATTACCCAAAAATTAATGGAAAATTCAGGTCGTTCGCACCATATGCACAACGCTAGTCAAGACGTGGGGAGCTGGCCAAAACTCCGAGGTGTGTGATGCGTGCGTGTATGGCAAGCGGCCCACCATGGGCCGACAGACCCGTTTTCACGGTCAAAAATTTCGGGAAACACACGGCATGTATCACTCCAAATACGAGTAGTGCGTTCTCAAAATGAACTCTTGAACACAGAAAATACATACACAGACAAGCTAGATCAATTCTGTATAAAATTAACTTGCAAAAATGTTCTTTCATCATTGGTGTTTTCTTGGCATTTTTACGATGTCGAATCCGACCAGTTGACAGAGCACGTGCCTGGCGCCTGCACGATGCATAGCAGCAATGCTCTAGCGCTATCGATCGCATAGCCGTGCACAGACTAGTTACCGCATTTTCATCATGATGTCTTCTAAATTGGCGTGGCGGGAACCAGTCATCGCCGCATTGGGCTGGATTACGGGTTACCGGATTACGCACATGATTATAGTCACCATGACATCGAATTGCGAAGTAGTCATATCGCGAAGCGAATTTGTAAAAATAACGGAGGTTTCTTTTGAAAAAATAGCGAATGTACATATAAGTAAGAAACCAAATAAATAAAACAAGCATTTTTTTGACACAGATTTTTTCAGCTGGCCAGCCGGACCACTTGGCAAGGTGTTTCAGCTGGTCCGCCGGCAATTCAACTGGCGTTTGGCCAGCGGACCACCGCTAAGGTCGAACCCTGATAGTGCATTAAGTCAAAAGCCATTGCCACAGACAACAATGCCCGTCTCATCAGACACGGCCTCACATACCTAGTCTAGGGGCTAGACGATGTTATGGTCGGATACGCAATTACCTGCTACAGCGATGACCCGCCGTCGCAAGAGGTGGCTATCAAAACCAACCAATATCCCCCACCATCGGAACGTCTAGGCCAACTCATAAAATCTCTCCCCCCCCCCCCAAAAAAAAGTGGGGGAAGTGCGCATGCGCTACTTCCGCAGGCAATTACTGTTCATTTTCAGTCCCACACAAACTACACACAACAAAAATGGCTGACCAGTGAAGTTGCACAAACGTCTTGCTGCATCTTTTACGTTACTTGAAGAAATTTGAAAGTTTCCTTGGGAACTACTGTGAATTGTTTTTGAATGCGCGCTGCATTTATTAGGCCAAAGGTGCGCGCACATTACACAACCAGTAGGAATTGGCCTATACGTTGTTCCGACGGGTTCATGGGTGATATTGGTTGGTCAGTGGGTGTGGGTTTATCACTGCAGCAGGTTATTGCATATCAAACCATAACAATGTCTAGCCGTTAAGCCTCAGTCATACAGAGCTACAGCTATCCACAGTTTAGAATTGTGATAACCGTGGGAGTACTGTATTCATCCTAAATATCTGCGTGGTTATCCCTCATCTTCCTTTGGTATTCGTGGAGGCGCTACGGAACTTTTAAGCTGTTCCAAACGTCTGTGGTGAATCGTCATGAAAATCAATGCGCAGTGAAACCCGGGGACATCCATAGAACAACTGTACTAATTCGTAGTGTTATTTGTAGCTATTTGTACATACTCTTGGAGATTTGTAGCTCATTCGTGGTGGAAATCTATTCTCTACGAATTCACTACAAATGTCCTACGGTTATGCCCAGATATGCTTGAATTCTGCTAAGGTTGTACTACGAATATGACTATGCTTTATTTGTAGGAGAACCTTGGTCATCCGTGGCCCAATCGCAGACAACTGTGGCATTAACATCATTACTCTTGGTAATACTGTCAATATTCGTAAACAATCCATTCAAGAAACCGTGGTGTATTCCTAGAGAAACCTCTGAAAGTTGTGGCTATCCGTCCTGAAACCCTAGTGCATTCTTAGAAAGTCAATTTCTCCATGAGTCTTGACGGTTCATTGTGATCAATTGATTCTTGGCAAACGGTGGATATTCGTAGGTCCAACCGTGAATGTGTTACTAGGGCCTTAAGACTATGACATACCTTGATCTTATTGCTGAGAGTCTGCATCTCAGTGGACAGTGTCTGCACCTTGTTGTGTAGCTCCTGGGTGGAGTCCCTGGTGGGTCTGTAGTTGGCATACTTCTCGTGTACGGCGTGGTAGATTTCACCCTTGATCTCATCAATGTGAGTTGATAATTTGCCGATGTGCGTCCTCAGGTCTTCCTTTTCCAACAGATCTGGGCAAAGAATTACAAAATATTGGGTGAGTAAAAAACACCAAAACCCAAATAGCAGGACCAACTTTCGAATGAAGTTTTGCCTGTAGAACTTTTAAACTCTAGGATATAAAAACCAAATCAATAAGCTTGTGGACTTGTAACAGTTAATACGGCACGTAAGTTTCAGCCGCTCATTTAGTTTGCGCGCATGTGCACTCAAAATATGAAATACAGATAATCATAAATCAGCAAACATGGATGCCTGCAGTGGCAGTTTGAACCACTGAAGTATCGGTCAACATCACGCTCAATGTACTTTGATAAATTTTTCTTTCCACGTAGACAGGAATTTAAGGCAATCAAAGTCACTTTTGCAAACCTTAGCGCTAAAAAACAGAGAGTATATGTTGCATTTTTTTTGTTTTTCCGTGTTGTATAGTAGGAAAATATTGGGTCACAAATTCAAAACAGGCGACAGTTTAGGGGATAATTGTTCAGTTTTGCCGAGTAATTGTAAACTTGTCTTCACTGAAAAATGGTAAAGAATGCCACGGAAAGTGCGATGTATAAATATCATTTAAGTTGGAAACCGTTTCAATGAGAAAAGTAAGGTCTCACGTTATACGTTTTTTGTTGTTGAATGTAACGTTAGTGTACACGTACCTGTACACAGACCCTGGAATTTGGCCCGTTAACATGGCTAACTGAAACGATTTTCAACTGACTGGTTCCCGGCCCAGAAATGCCGTTAAGTACGATCATAGAGGGCACTGGGACCAGTGTATTTGTGCACGAAGCTTTCAAAATGGGTTTACTCGAAAAATGACGATTTTTATAAGCTACAGGTTTCCTCTTACATCAAATCACATGTAAAATGAAAATAATCTATCATCCTTTCCGATGGTACTACGGCTGATCTAAGGTAAACCCGGCAAATTGTCCAAATGTGTGAACCAAACTCAAAGGCGAACGATGTTTTTTCCTTTTCATTTTGTACGTTTTTTGTCCATAATTATTGGGTTTTTTTTATATATTTGAAAAGGTAGAGACAATTGTAGAGAGACACTGTAGAGACAATTTATATCTTTGAAATTTCCTGTTCAATTCTGAGAGCTCCCCTCGCGATCTTGAACACGTTAAATTTCCGACTTGTGGTGTTAATGTTTGAACGACGCGATTTCTTCTTCATGCCCAGCGTACATTCGATGGTCCCCGTATCCCGAGTGCGATTCCGTTACCGAGCGCGCGCGATGCATCGATTATGATAATGAGTAGGCTGGATCAGGTTTGTAAACCCATGTGCATTTCGAACGATAATAGGGAGTCGTGAACTCTAGCGCAGCTTTTATGGCGGATACCAGTTCAAGCTGGTTCCCGATTTCCTTTTACAGTTCGAAATGCACTTGTGTTTACAAACGTGACAATTATCATAATCGATGCATCGCACGCGCTCGGTAACGGAATCGCACTCGGGATACAGGGACCATCGAATGTACGCTGGGCATGAAGAAAAAATCGCGTCGTTCAAACATTAACACGAGTCAGAAATTTAACGTGTTCAAGATCGCGAGGGGAGCTCTCAGAATTGAACGAGAAATTTCACTTTTCTTTCGGATCGTAAGTAAACTCAGTACAACCATCTTAATCATTGATGTCTACTAGTACTTGTACCTCAGGTGGCATATCTAGTAATTTGGAGGCCGTTTTGAGGGTGAAATCTGATGTTTTTTGTTGGAAAATGTTGGTTTCTGGGACAGTGACAGGATGATGTTGTCCAGCTCGCACTATTAGCTTGGACCTTACTATCACCAGACCATGTCCGAATGTTAAAAAGGCGATAAGTTTGGTCCAAGTTACTCGGACTAAGTATGTCATTAGTCATTGAATGCCAATTGTTCAGATGGGTCAGAATGTCAATTTTGAGTGTCATGATTTAGTCAACTGTTTTGGTGAGTCTTTCCCTCCTTACGTAGGAAAAGGGTCATAATACTAGTAAGGATTACCGGGCGAAGCTTAGTGACCGACACCCGTTCTCATACATGTACGTTGTATCACGCAACCGATGCAACGATAAAGATCGAATACTTACCAACCAAAAAGCGTTTCAAATACTCGGCCTACATAGGAATTAAATGCACTAAGTTTTTTATTTTTCCTACAATAATCTCTGGAACTTTATTGAGACAACCTTTGTCTGAAAGGTTAGTATTATTGGAAAACAGCTGAGTTTTACCCGTGTTTGCGAGCAGAACATCGGTGACAAGGGAAGTCCTCTTGATTCTTGGATCTGCCGCCGGTACAGCGCCCTCTAAACAAATTTTTTGAGGGTGACGTTTCTGAAATTTCGGATTAAGCTTCGCCTTAGAGTCATGACTGTCTACGTAATCATTTTAACAACTAATTAAACAGTCTAAAGCAAGCATAACAACTGTAACATTAGATCTGTTGACAATCAATGTTTTCAATGCAGAACAAAGACCGTTACCAATATATACAAAAATTGACAAAAATCCCAAGGTATGCGCTTGGTATGACGTATGCCCACGTGATGGCGCGCACAGGTGGTGGTGTTTTGTGACACTGACAGGTGCAAAATGGTGGATAATATTCACACGTGGTGGTATGTGTCTGCGTGTTACAAAAATGTAACAATGCCCGTCTCGCAAAAGTTGGTGTGTCCCTTGCCCTATGATGTCGTTGCCATGTTGGGTCATGCAACTTTCTCCTGATTCGTTGTCGAGGAACGTGTTGTATCTCTACTTGTGAGGTGGTTTCAGTGTGTCCGTCGTCAACTCGATTTTCTTAAAACCTGAAAAACTGCAAGACGTTCATGGTCCGGTCGTGAGTATTTAGCAGGGAAAGAATCGTAGGCCTATACCAAGGTTGCGATCATGGCGATTTGCATTCACAAAGCGTGGGATTCGCAATTGTGCCAATCCTGTTGCATAAACCGCAGATCTAAGATTTTCACATAATCCTATTTAAACATTTTGGATTTTGAGCATGTTAGGAAGTGACAATTAAGCTAGTGGTTACTCACGTACGTCACAATATGTGCATCCCCCCATGTTGAAGCACTTGAAAGTGTTCAACATATTTGATTGGCCTGATCGAAGATCAATCTGATAATTGACAATTATTATGTACCAAAAACAGGGCTGATGGCTTTCAGGGACTTCATTCATCCTTGCAACATATCTCTCTCTCTGTTATTTTAGTCTCTATTGTATTGGAGTGGTGATGTGAAGTAGTTTTCTACAGGAAATAATGCTGGGTTCCTTTATTTTCAATAGGGCCCAAAGAAATATTGATTGTGAAAAGAATGTAAAAGTCATATCCGTCACACCTTTTGTGACGGAAATGACAATTATTATATTACTTGGCTTTTGGAGGTATAATTACCTTTTCAAGTTGTTTACTTTACAAATTATGGCAGTAGGTACATATTGAGAAATACACTGGGACATGCATTTTGAGGGGGTTTTGAGGGAGTATTGTAAAGAATGAGCATCTTGTCCATTATGTTAAAGAGTTTTTAACACTGCACATAATAGGAGTCGTGTTGAAGTTAAAGGGAATATACAACATTTGCAAACATCGAAAAATAAAACTACCAATTTTTTGCGAAATACCTTAATAGGATGTTGGTAAATGACAGTCTAAAGCATCCTGTAAAATTATGGCACCTGGTATACTGTCATTTTCAAGAAAAGTGGTATTTTTGTATCAATTTCCAACGCTGATCGGCCGATCAGCGTTGGAAACAACTGGCTTTTTTTTCAAATACTGGCCCCAATTGACCATTGCACTTGTTTACAATCGATTACAAACCCATGAACGGGTATGAGCCAGCTAGACTGGTTCCCTGACCTTACAATTCCCCAATGTATGTTAACTGCTCTGTTTCTTCTTATATGGAGTCAGGGAACCAGACTACAGGAAAATGATCGTTTTTCTTGGTTTTTATAGCATTTTCGAACCCAAAACCTCCAAAAAGTCAGTGTAACTATATTTGCTTTATATTTCCAACCCCCCAATTCCATCCATATCTGAAAATTACAGCAAAAGCAAATGATGTATATTCCCTTTAATTTCACTGCTCAAAAATCTAATTTTCATTCTATATTTTTTCGAATTATAGTGCCTTAAAGTGTCGGGACATGAAAGTAGACACTTGATACTGAAGAATGACCCATAGGCCCCTTTTTAATAAGAACTTGCTGGGAGTGTACATGCGGGAAGAAATTCATGATAAACATCTCCAGCATTTAGGATAGAGATAAACCCACGAATGATTCTAGCGTAAGGTTGATGCATTGGCAGTTGTACTGTTTAACTTTGTTCACTATAGGGTGTCAGTGGGTACATTGAATTTTTTGAAAAGAAGCTGAAACAATGAGAAGCAGTAGGTGGAAATTAACAAAAATCCACTGTGACAAAAGATGTATATCATCAAGTTAATTTAGCTAGTTAAACTGTGCACATTAATTTACTTATGCTTTTAACAAATTCAATAAATATATAAAATCTGATATCAAAAAGTATTTTTGCCCTCTGCAGGCTGAGTGTAAACATTAAACTGAAATCCACAGGCAAAAGGGGAACTATGTATTGGTGGAGTGAGGAAATTATGGATGTGACATTTACACATTTAAACATTTAAAATAATAAACAAAATTCTAAATCGTATTTTTCCAAAAGTTTTAACAAAACTCAAATTTTAAAAACAGGAACCTATTTTCCGCTATCTTCCTTTGAGTTGAGCATGGATAACAAAAATAATCCAAACCTATTCAATTTGCTAAAAGCTAAGGAGAACTGCAGTACTAGATTACTTTCAGGCTACGTGCTCATCTTTTTATTGTTTTCAATGACAGCCCTCTTTTTATTATGTTACTCATTTATTATTTGTTGTGTCGATCATGTTGGTCTGCACAATGGGCAGTCGTCAGTCTTTGTGAAAGGGCTCAACATTGAGATGGTTCTTTAAATGTTTGCTAAACATTTACAAAATGAAACGTCACATCCTTAGAAGACATTGGAGGAGGAGGTCTAAGAAATTGGAGGAGGAAGGCAATTGGAGGTCTGTGGATGTTTGAGCTACTACGTACATGTAGAGGGTAACAGATGTCTCTGATGGTGATGCTGAAGTTTTGCAGAGCTATCGTCTGTTTGCTGACCTTCATTGCTAGACGGACAGAGCATGGATGTAGCTGCTTGATACTCATGATGATGGTGGCCCTTTTGGTGAGTGCTGGGTGTTCACTGATTTCCTGTAATTCTCCCCATCTGCCATGTGCTCTGTGTTTGTGCTGTCTGGCGTTGAGTTCTCTTGCTGGTGTACCCAGTGTACACCTTCTGCATTCGCAGGGGATGCATCAGGTTCGGTCTTGGAGGCTTGCTTGTCCTGTGGGCTATTGTGGATCTTGTGGGTGTGGAAGGCCCGGATACCTTTGTCATTTAGGAAGTACTGGATGTGATGAGAACTGCCTGTGTTGGGCTGTGTAATAGGCGGGGTGAGCCTAGTGGGTTCGACCTTGGGTGTAGGGGACCCTTTGGTAGGTGAAAGACTTTGGATCTTGCGTCTTGACTGGATGAGCCTTGAATCTGTTGTGTTGTAGTGCTGTCTTGATATGGTAAAGTTGTTGCCGGCCAGGATTGTGGTTGCTGATGCAGGCTTCCCGGACAAGGTTGCTCTTTGACTGGTGTTTGGATTTCCGGGTGCAGGAAGGATTGGTTGTCGATGTTGCCAGTCAGTGTCTGTCGGTCATCTCTAATAGACTCAGGGGTCGAGGGTGTTGTCAGACTGTTTTCAGACCTTAGCATCCGGGGATGAGATTCAAGGCGCCTGATCCTCACTGCGCCAGATGCTGCTGTAAATCCAGTTGAAGTCTTTCAGGACCTGCTGGAGGTCCCATGCTGTATGATGAAGTGATGAGAGTCTCATCCATGTACTGAAGACAAACTCTTGGTCTCAGATCTACGAAGGCAGTACTCCTATATGAAGGCATTGACTAAAACTGGGGATAGAGTTGATCCTGTGGAAGTTCCAGAAGGCTGCTTGGACAACTGGCTGTTCATTGGAAGAAAGACAGCAGGATGTAGGTGGGTCGCAGATCATGAACCTGGTTTGGAGTGTGGGGCTTCATATTTCTGCAGGGCGTAGTCAAGTCGGAGTCCCCCTTGGCACCGAGGCATGAGTAGCCTGTGGGGATGGCAGTGAATATCTGGTAGCCTTCATCGGGGTTGACCATGGTGTCCTTGGGAACACTGTGAGGTTGCGCTCATGGTGTCATTGGGATCATCACCCTCACCATCCCCATCACCCCCACTGGCGGCCGCCCCCACCCCCCTCACCCTCACCACCACCATCACCATCATCATCATGCTGCTGCTGCTGCACTGCGCTGCGCTGCGCTGCTGCTGCTGCTGCTGCTGCTGCTGCTGCTGCTGCTGCTGCTGCTGCTGCTGCTGCTGCTGCTGCAAAAACCTTTACTTGTGATCCCAACAAAGCCATGTGCAGCTTCAGTGGAGACTCCAGGTATTCATCACCAATCCCATGGGTGAGGCATGTCTCAAGGTCTCGGTCAGGAAACCTTCATGAAGACAAGCTGTGTGAGTGTGAAACCCTCTCTCTGGATTAGGTTTGTGATCTCCTACCCATCTACATCCTGCCGTCCTTCATCCAGTGGACAGGTCAATTCTTCAAGCAGTCAGCTGAAACTTCCACAGGATTAACCCCATCTCCAGTTCTGGCCAATATCATCATATAGTTCTGTACAGCTTTCGTGGATTTGAGAGCAACAGTTATCTTCAGTTTGTGCATGACACTTTCATCATTTTATCACACAGCACAGTACCTCCAGCAGTTCCTGAGACACTTCAGCTGGTTCACACACAGCAGCATCTGGCTCACCTTGGATCGAATCTTCTTCCTGGATATTGAGGCCTCCAGGCAGTCTGGCAGTATTCTCAGCCCTTTTGTCTATCAGAGAGCCACACATTGATAGGCATCTCCACAATCAATCTGTCCAGTGCCTTGGGATCTATTCATCAGTCATTGGCACCCTTGTCTGGCAATCCTTCATCATTGACCACGATCCTTTGCTGCGACAACTTTGCTATGTCAAGGCAACAATCCAACACGACCAATTTGGGGTACATCAAGTTGAGACACTTGATCCGAAGTCTTTCACTGACTAAAGTGTTTCGTATACTCAAAGTCTACCCATCAGGTTCATCTGGTCCATTACACTTCCCTTCATAGGCAGCTCTTATTGCATTTAGTCCTTCCTGAATGACACTGGCATCTAGGTTTTCCATGCCTAACATGATCTGCAATAGCCTACAAGGATGAGTAAGACTCTGAGACCTAACCTGATGTAACACCTGTGAATACAGAAAGGTCTGCATTGGGTACATCGGTGAGGATCTTAGCACTGGACTCCATGAACACAAGGCGCATGGTTCTTTGGGGAGATTGCAGGAAATTTTTGATAATTCAGCATTTTACCGATCGGTAGCACCTCGTCATAAGTATTGAGTGCCACAATCCTTGCCGAGTCTGAAAGGCCTTGGATGTCTGGCACAGGATTTTTCTGAAGGACATCAGTTCCATCATCAGTGATATCTGGAGTCCTTTGCTGTGCTAGCATCTCAATATTCCACAGGCCTCCAATACTCACTCCACCAATAGTTAACATCTAGTTCCCCTTTTAGCTTGTCTGTGGGTGTCTGTCCTCAAAACTCAGCTCTGTAAGTAACATTCATGTACATGTACTCACTTGACATTCTATAGTGAACAAAAATTGCCCTTTCTTGCCTTATGTTAATTGTCCTGTCTTGCCTGCCACTTTCTTGCCTAAAGTGCCAATATTTGCCTAAAGTGCCACTTAATTCTTACCTAAAGTGCCAACTATTTCTTGCCAAAAGTGCCAACTATTTCTTGCCAAAAGTGCCAATTAATTCTTGCCTAAAGTGCCAATTAATTCTTGCCTAAAGTGCCAATCCTTGTCTAAAGTGCCATCTCTTGCCTAAAGTGCCATCTCTAGCCTCAAGTGCCATCTCT